TTGACAGATTTTTGATATCTTTTACAGGAAATGAGATGTTTCAGCTCAAAGTTGACGAGTTGTGTGAGCTTCTATTAGAGTAAAATAAGGTATTACGGTTTTTTGAGATTTCTGTGACGTTTCTGTATTTGAAAAATCTGACCTGGAAATAAATAATCAATCAAACAGTCTTGAAACTGGAGAAGTTTAAGAAAGTTTTTGAAACATTGAGAATTGTGAATTAAATTATTTTAAAAAATTTGAAAAAAAAACTTTTTTTCAGTTTTAAAATTGTCTTATCATTTATCTTCTAGCAATCAGTTTCATTATCACTGTATAGCTTTGCCGAATTTGCTTTTTTTGAACGTTTAGAAACTTAACTCTATATTGTTGGTGTCTGTTTCAGCTTTCCCTGTTCTAAACTTCAAATGTTAAAGAAATTGTTCAAATTGAGAAGTTCTAAATTGCCGTAAAACCTGTAATAGAAGGGCACACAGACTGTCAACTTTGAGCTCATTTATCTGGATTCCTATGCGAGATATCAAAAATCTGTTTACTGATAAATATTCCTGATATTATGATAAACATTTTATTAGTCGACCATTTTTTGGTATCTTTCACAAGAATGGAGATAATTGAAGTCAAAGTTGACGAGTTGGGTGGGCTTCTATTACATACGGTGTTACGGTTATTTGATATTTCTGAAAAGTTTCTGGATTAGTAATATTTGAACTAACATAAATCAAGGAATTTAGAAATTTTAGAAATTTTGGTAAGTTTTTGAAACATTGAAAATTTTCAAAACTTTCAAAATTTCAAAACTAGACTTCGAAAATGGGAAAAAAACAGTTAAAACTGTGAAACACTCATTTACCGAAAAACTTGCAATAGAAGGGAACCCTCTTAGTCATCTTTCATTCTGATCGATTTTTGTGAAAGATATCAAAAATGGGTCAACTGATAGAATGTTTTTGATTATATGGGGAACAATTTAATAATGACCACTTTTTTATATTTTAGACAGGAAGTGAGATAAATAGGCTCAAAGTTACGGTATCCCATCCAATTATCCCCATTTCAAAGATTTTTTTTCGATATTCCCTGCCGGTGTCCATGTGTTGTGTTAACAACAGCTGCATCTACGGTACATATGTAAAAGACTTCGTTGGCCGTATGTACGTCTGTTGTCATTTTTCCCAAAAACACATGGTATTCTGATTCAAAAGGGACACACACACGTATGTTGACCATATGACAGAAAACTAGTTGCAGCTTTTTCGAAAAATTCAATTCGGATGGCAAGAAGAAGAAGAAGACATGTGTACTCAACATGTTCAAATACATATTTTTTTGAATTCGGAAATTAGGAAAGGAATATTTTTGGAAGGGAATAGTGACTGGAAATTTTCAATGAACCTGAAATTGTTTACATATTTAAATATAGTCCCGCTTCGACTCTTTCCCGAACTGTTTATTAGAATTTTGAAATTAATTTACCAATACTATGAAACAGAAATCTAATTTTGGTTTTCCAGTTCTCCCACCTACCGTAAAACCTGTAATAGAAGTTGACCTACCGTAATTTTGTACATCTCGGTAACTGTAACAGATACTGAAAAGAAAAGTTGTCAACTGACAAAATATTTATCATAATATCAAAAATATATTATCAGTTGGCCACTTATGGAAATCTATTACAGGAACCGAGATACAGAAGTGCTCAAAGTTGACGGGTTCTGTGGCCTTTTATTAGAATGTTTACGGTATATCTCAAACTTGAAAAAGTCAAAATCTTGTGTAAAGGTTTTTTTTTAATTTTTGGGATAAGAATAAATATAACGAAATCATTGAAATCAAATTTAATGATTTTTCAAATGAATTTTTTGAAATATTGAAAAATATTAAAAATGAAAAAAAATATCCTAAGGGAATTAAACTTGATTCTGAAAAATTAGAGCTGTCGCGTCGCTACCAGCTGAGCTACATGGTCGTTGATGCACTACACTGTACAACACCACGTTTAAATACATACTGTAGGTCTCAAAGAAATAATATATAAATTCTGCTTCAAAAATTTTACGGCTTTAGGATATTGTAATATTCACATTTGCACAGAACTTGATATTGAAACTATTTTGGAATTCTTTAAAAAAAAAAACTTTGAGCTCAATTATCTCGGTTCCTTTATATATAAAAAAAGTTTTCAACTGATAAAATGTTACTGATAATCTGTTAAAGATTTTATTCGTTGACCATTTTTCCATATCTTTTACAAGAACCAAGATAATTGAGCCCAAAGTTGAAAGTTTGGGTGGACTTCTATTAGACTTTAGACATTCTTCATAAATAATACCGTTTCATAGTTTTGTAATATTCACATTTCGAAAAAATAAGTAATTGGATTCGTTTGGTTTTGACAAATCTGAATATGAATCAATATTGGATTTTTAATATTCTTTGTTATTTGACAATTAATCAGCTTGATCTAACTTCAAATAGATGAATTTCTGAAAAAAATTGACTGGATTTGCGCTCTTAATGATTTCTGTAAGATAAGTTCAAGATAATAGTGAGTAGATGAAACAGAAAAAATTTGAACTCTACGAGACCTTCCAATTTTGACCCTACTCCTCGAAGTTTCCATTAGGACTCTAGAAAAAATTTGGGAACCCCATGTTTGCATTTCACTCCTTCTCTTTCTTCCCAAAACGTTCCATTTGCCTTAGCCTCTGGCAATTTTGCGTTCCCTCAAAACCCCCATATTTTATTTCAAATAAGCCCTCCTTTTTCTTTTCCATTTTCCATTTTCAAGGGTCCCCGCGCAAATTTCATACTAGTCCCATCCGTCTGCTGCTCATCTTGCGCAAGCTGTGAGCCAGTTGGCTCACAGATAGAGCCCAGAGGAGCAACGGAGCAGCTGTTCCCAAAAGAAGAAGAAGTTGAACCCTTCTTCTTCTCATCTGGAGCTGAAGAAGAAGAAGCTGTGAAACGGCGGAAAAAGATACATCTGTCTTTCCGTCTTACATGGCGATTAGCACGAAAGGGGTGCCGTTGATGGTGTCAGGTGCAAATTAAGGGAAAAAATAAATAGTGTGGGAATTCTAGAGGGATTAGGTTCTAATGGCGCTAAAAAATTCAATCTTTAAGTAGCCACTAGCTTTAATTGGAACATGAAACAGTTGAAATTTTTTCAAAAAAATTGCTGTAATTAATATTAAAAAATTTCAGTTAAGAATGTTTTGATAGTTTCAGAAACAAATAAATTCTGTTTCTAAAGATTTTGAAAGTTCTGAAAACCAAAAATCTCCGACATTTTGGTACGACGGGTCAATGGCGGTCTATTGGCGGCTCTAAAGGGACCTTAAAGGTGGAGGGACAGGAGATTTTTCGTAGTTTTTTTTGTAGCTAGAGTATGCATTCTACGGTGTACAACGCTTAATGTCACTCTGCGTACAGCTGTCGTTTTCGCCTTTATGTATGCAATCGGGCAGCGGCTTTCTCTTTGCACGCGTAGCTCAGTCGGTAGCGGCGCCGCACCCTCAATCATCGCCCTCACAAGTTCAACTCTTCGAGGGGCATCTTTGAACGGAATTTCGAGAACATTATTTTTTTCATGTCCCCCCACCTTTAACTTCAAGTAGAGTTTTCCCATTTTCTGTCAAAGGTATAAAAAAGTAGTCAACTGATAAAATATTTATCATATTTTGGAAAATATTTTATCAGTTGACACCTTTTTGATATCTGTCACAGGAACCAAGATATTTAATCTCAAAGTTGGCGGTCTGAGTGGCTTCTAACACAGGTTTTAGGGTAAGCAAAAGTTGAACGATTATTGAATAAAGTTGCCATTTACTTTAATTGAAACATGAAACAACGGAAAATTAAAAATCGCAATAACTGAAATTTCAGGTGCGAAATTGTTTAATGTTCAAAAAACGAGGAAAAGTATAACACTTTGTTTCTAGGTTCTAAAAAGCTGAAATAACAATATAATAGAGGGCTACCCAAACGTCAACTTCGAACCCATATATCTCCGTTCCTGTAAAAGATATCAAAAAGAGATAGACTGATAAAATGTTTTTCATACTTTCAAAAATATTTTATCAGTTAACAACGTTTTGATATCTTTTACAGGAAATGAGATATATGAGCTCAAAGTTGGCGGCCTGGTTGGCCTTATATTAGAGTGTTTACGGTATCCCTAACCGACTATCAGGTTTTTCTTCTTTAGTTTTTTTCACCATTCTCACTGATTTGTACTAAAGCATATTTCTAGAAATTTCGAAAATTTATGAAAATCCTGAAACCGTTTTTTTCTGAAAAAAGGTCTCATGATTGATCTGAACACATTATTCTGGGTATTTATCTATTTTCCGAGTTCAGTTCTATTGGCTAATTACGAAAAAGAATATGCTCAAATTCCCGGCTTTCCGAAATTTCCTTGAAATCAATTTTTCCTGTTTTTAATTCTATACTTTTTTCCTTCTTCAAAATTGGTCGGTAATTTCCATATGTGTTCATCTTCCTTCCCGCTCCCGGCGATCTCGTGGTGTAGTGGTTATCACATCTGTCTAACACACAGAAGGCCGGCGGTTCGATCCCGCCCGAAGTCAATTTTTTTTGTTTTTTTTTCACTTTTGGCTTTCAGACAATGCTAAACTCATTAACCAAAGGTTAGTTATTTTTTAGTTTCTTTCCCAGGGACCAATAGTCGGATTAATGTAAAGAACAGCGGGGAGTATTCTTTTACTCACTTCAAACAAAGGGCAAATTCCGACGCACCACATCTGTATTTGTCGAGGACCTCATGACATCGGCATCCCTCTCTCCTCTCCCACCCTCTGTTATCTACCCCCATCCGTCTCTCACCCCCGACCAGCCGGCGCGCACCTGTGCATAAAGAGAAGAGGGGGCGTGGCTTGGCAGAACGCAGCTGGATAGACACCGCCCCTCGGTTTCCCCCTGAGGACCTCCTTCATTCAGTCAGACATCATTGTCAGTCGTCTATTCTTTCTCTAAAAATGAAGAACTCCAGTGCTCGCCCACCACGTGACGCTATTTCTCATGTATCGCCAAAGTCGAGGAAGATCCGGAAATCCACGTCAGCGGAGAGAAGGGAAAAGGAGAAGGTGAGAATTACTATATTTTAAATGTTAGGTTAGAAGTTGTTGAGTTCTATTTTAGATTCGGAAAACATCTGAAATGTCTCAAACGTTAACTTAGCGCTTTCATAATTAGTCCGAAGTTTGAAAGTCCCTAACTTGAGTTGTAGGTAATTCTATAAAGCAAGCTAAGCATCATTCAAAAGCTCAAAAAACGAGCTTTGAGAATATAGAATTATTTTTGTGATTTAGTGAAAGCAAAGACTAAAAAACTAGGTACGAACATGACAATGTCTAACAGGTTATTCTAGTTGGAATGGCTTTAGCTAGCTCGAATTAGCTAACTAGCTTACTATTAACTTATCCTAGCTCAAAGCAAAGTTTCTTCTTTCTAACCCATCCAATTTTCCAGGTCACAAACCGTCTCCGCCAACTAGTCGCCGCTGAAGAAGGAGCCGACCAGTACGATCTCGTCATGGCCACCATCGCCCATATCCGTGAGCTCCAGGCCCAGCTATCCGGAAAAGAGAACTCACTGCCCGCCGGCTTCGAGCACCTCTTCTCGACATCTGCCTCGGTGAGCCCGGCGTCGTCGCGGCCCGAGTCTCCAGAATCTCAGAATTCCACGTCATCTGTCTAGGACCACACCATCTGCTTGTTGGACCATCTGGATCATGAGGTCCACTCTCATTAGGAGACTATATAGCCTGTTATTCTCCATGTAATCTCCCCCCTTTGAATTTTTTGTAAACTTTTGCGGGTAACAACTTCTTTTCTTTCCAGCCACTGAAAATGTAGAAATAAATCTTTGTAAATTTCATACGCCTGCCTTTGGTCCCTTGAAGAATATCTCAAAAAACCTGAAATTCAAATTTGCTCTATTGACAACACTTTGATTGTAATTCGTCTAAAACCATCAACCGGCTCATAACAGTCTTCAATTTTTAGGACCTTGTTTAAACAGTTGTCTACAAGATTGACCTTCAAAAAGTATCAGATATCTGGTTGAAGCACTAAGTTGCGCAAGTCAGACAGTATGCCAAAAGTTACGCAATTTGGAAAGAGATTAGGATGATGGATATGTATGTAGCCTCGTTTTAAAAGGGGGATGTCTATGGTAACGTCATGTTTTGACATTAGTTCTTGAAATAATGGGTTAAAAAAGAATACACTATTCATACAGTACTGGACAATAAGATGTGACCAGTTTTTATATTGAAAACGCAAAACAACTGGTGTCTTTCAGAAATCGGCAAATAGCTGAAAAACTAGGAACTTCGAGAAAATTTCATGAATGCAAAGTGTTCAACCTAGATCTGTTTCACATGCTGCAAAATTTTCAAAGTGATTCTAAAAATGTTAAAGCTGATAGAAACTCTGAAATGTCCTGAAATGTTAAAACAATTTTACTGTTTCATCTGATTCATATAGTTTACATCACTTCATAATGGTTTGATCTTGTCATGCTCTAATAGAGGACCACCCAACTCTTTGAGTTTATTTTTCTCGATTCCTACAAGAGATATCAAGTTTGTCAATTTTACTGGACTTCCAAGATTTTTCGAAAATTCAAAAAATCAATTTATTTTCCTTTTTTTTTATTTTTTGTCTTTTTCACCAATTTATTAAAAACAATAGGTAATTCACAATATTCACTAATTCAGTAATTCACAATATTCAATAATTCACAATATTGTCAGTGATTTAATCCAATCTTTTAGATTAGTAATGAAACTTTTTGTCAAGGAATCTGAACTCCCAAGAATAGCCATTTTACCGTATTACCTCTAATAGAAGGCCACCCCAATACTTGCCATTTGAGCTCAATTATCTCGGTACCTATAAGAGACATCAAACGTTTGTCAACTGTATATTGGCGATAAAATGAGGCACATTTCACCAGTCGACATATTGTTGATATCTTTCACAGAAATTGAAACAATTGAGCTCAAAGTTGACGGCTTGGGTGGCGTTCTATTACAGATTCTACGGTATTCCATTGGAGTTGTTCCCAAATTGTCAATCCTAAAGGTAGCACTGAATTAACTCATTTTTGAGCATGTATAAAAAAAAGGGACCGTCATTTTAAAGGTACCAAATTGATGTCGTCAAAGAGCTTTTGAAACAAAAAATTTCAAAAAAAAACGAAACGATTTCCTGTTTCATCTGCTTCATATATGTAGTTTACATCTCACTTTATAATGAATCGGATCTAACAACTCATTTTCAGATTTTTTTTTCAACCAAATGCCAAACACCTGACTTGAAAATTGTACAAGATATAAATTGAGTTTACTGAAACTTTTGAGAAAAATGGTTCGAAAAATTTAATGTTTCCCGTTTCATCTGGTTTGAATAGTTTTTATTTATTTTCATGTATACGAAATATACCGAGCAAGATGTACATTTTCAGACTATACTGCCAGTTTGAAAAAAATAGTTGAAAATCGCAGAAAATGGTAAACTTTGATATAATTTAAAAATATGAAAAATTCCTTTCGCCGTTTCATCTGGTTTTGATAGTCTTAATATGTTTTCATGTTGTATTAGGTTCAACGCATATCAAGCAAGCTTTATTTTTTGGAATTTATGTTTTCCTAAAAAATAACTAAACAACTGGCATGCTGTCCTTTTGAAAAGAAAATAAGTTGAGCATTGTTTTGTAACTCTCCTCAAGCTTTCAAGAGAAATGTTTAAAAAAATCCAAGAAATTTCTAGTTTCATCTGGCTTGCATAGTTTTAACTTATTTTTATGATGTATTATAATCCTAGCAAGCTATAGATTTTGAGATTTCTGTTCTCTTGAAGATTGAAAACGTGCCTGGAATACTACCGTTTTGAGAAATAAACAAGTCTAAAATTGTAAAAGATTTGGAATAACTGAATCTACTGGAAATTTTGAAACAATTTTTCGTAAAGCTTTAAGGGATTCACCGTTCCATCTGCTTTATATAGCTTTTACCTATTTATAATGTGTTGAAGTGAAGGAAATATGTTCTAAATTTTAAAAATTTATGTTTTCCTTACAATTAAGAAATGCCATATACTGCCATTTTTGAAGAAATATTTCTAATTTTACAAAATAGAATTTTTATAACTCTCCTCGAATTTTTAGGAACAATAGTTTGAAAATTTTGAGAAATTTCCTGTTTCATCTGGTTCATATAGTTTTTATCTAACTTTTTAATATATTGAGAAGCCAAAAACCTTAAAACTTTGAGATTTCTGTTTTCTTAAAAACAGAAAAATGGCTAAACACCTGGCTCTATGCATACATTTGACCAAAGCTTACCATCTGCACACCGCACGTTTTCCCGCTCTTTTCGGAATGTCTTCGGCACGTGGCAAAGGATCCGCCACCTGTCCCATCTAGCAGGGCGGTCTATCTCATCTTCATCTTATTATTCTTCTTCATGGCTTCCTTATTTTCCTGATGCACACACACAAACACACCTGGGGCCAGAGAAAATCATGTAACTATTGACACACAGGTGTTAGGCCCTATGGAGACACCTGGAGAGATCCGTGAGGTGGGAGGCAATTCTTATTTTTAGGATGTTGTCAGGTGGTGGGAGGGGGAGAAAATTGGAAAATGGAGATACTTCTTCTAGGAAGCGAATCGAAAAAAAAAACAGGTGGATGAGAAGAACAGGTGTGGATTTTTAGAAGCAGCAGCAACAGCTAATTTCAGGACACACCAGCTGGAATATGGGGGTGTGAAATTGGAAAGGGTTTTGGAGAATTCAGGAATTTTCCAGGAATTTTTTAACAGTCAGCTAAAAACCGCTTTTTCAAAGACTCGAAAATGTTTGTTTCGAAAATTGATGACTAAAACTAACATTTGAAAAAAGCACTTCTGAAAATATATAAGAAGTGTGAAGCCGAATATTTTGAAGTTTTTTTTGAAAGTTTTTCAATAAATGAAATTCGATATAAATCTCTCTAATGGGGTTATTCAGAGAGTCGGCAAAAAATGAAAAAAAAACTCCGCGAAAACTCGGAGAGTGTTCCAATCTGGCTGAAACTTTGGGGAAAACTGGAGAAAACTATAGGAAACATTTTACCAAAGTTTGGGGTCAAAATATCAATTTTCAAAATTTGTCTGAAATTCCAGCCAAATTTTCAAAGTCGATATTTTGACCCCAAATTTTGGCAAAATGTTTTTTATAGTTTTCTTCAGTTTTCCCCAAAGTTTCAGACAGATTGGAACACTCTCCGAGTTCTCGCGGAGTTTTTTTTTCCTTTTTTGCCGACTCCCTGAAAAACCCGATAACAAAAAACATAATTCTGAACATTTTTAGAATAAAAAAAAATAAACTTTTTGGAACAGAAACAATTGAATCGTCGATTTTTGAAAATTCAGCGAAAAAATAAGGATTGAAAAATGACTGGATACCGTACAACGTAATAGAAGGGTCCCCCCATGGAAAACCTCGAAAAATGCGAAAAATGGGCTTTTCTCAGATTCTAGAAGATCTTGGACTTTCTGGACGTTCCATAAAACTGAAACTTTCCATTATTTAAAGAATTTTCAGTTTTGCCTGGAATTCAAAAACTTTGAACATGTAGGTATGGAATTTTCTGTTTCTTTTAAAAAATATGTTTCAAAGCTTCGATTTTAGAGGAGAATTTTATATAGAGAGTAATTACAATTCCAGATAACGCATATTTTTGGTTTTCTCATTATTAAAGAAATTCAATTGTAGTGCCATTAAAGACAGACCGATCGAGACAATTGTTGGCTTCAAAAAATGTAAACATTGTGGAACAGGGGAAACATTTGAATCGCCAATTTTTAGAAAAAGTTAATTTTCAAATTTAAAAAATGTTTTAAAATCTCAATTTTGGAGTTTTTAAGGTTTTAATTCTCAATCGGACATTTCTGGTTTTTTGCAAATTTTTTATTTCCAAGGATGCATTTTAGCAGGGCTGTGTACAGAAAACAGTTTTAGACATACCGTAAAAACAGTAATAGAAGGACCTCTAAACCATTATCTTTGAGCCAATTTATCTTGGTTCCTGTCAAAGATATCAAAAAAGTGTCCACGGATATATTGTTTATCATAATATCGCAGGCATTTTATCAGTTGATCACTTTTTGGTATCTTTGATATGAGCCAAGATAAATTAGCTCTAACTTGACAATGTGGGAGCCGTTCTATTACAGGGTTTTCTCCAAGTCTTTCAAGTACGCTTCACAAATCTTCGAAGCGAATTTCTCCTTTTCCTTAATTTTCCAAACTCTTCTTCTATTCGTTCTCCAATTAGATTCCCCCTTTTCTCCAGCTGCTCCTGCTTCTCTTCACATATGGTTCGACGCCAGAAGCAGAAGCTGTGGGCAGATGATGTTGGGGACACTCCAGATGAACGGAGATTTTGAATGGAACAGGCGAGAATATGAACGATGGGGAACTGAAGTAAATTGGGGACCTGATGAAATTGTGAAATTTTTGATTTGGTAAAAAAAACAGCTGAAAATAGTAACTTCAAAATTTTCAGTTTCAAAATGTAGACTTCTATAAACTACACCGTAGTTTTTGCTAATAGTTAGTACGGAAAATATTATTTTCTATAATTACAGTACCCAGTTACAGTTTGCTCTGTACTTTGTTCACTAAACTTGAAATAGTCGAATTTTCAATAATTAGCTTTTTACTGTAGGATTCTAAACATTTTGGAATTCAAAAAAAATCACGGTTTTTCTTTTTTCTCATATACTTCAATGAACAATAGGTTTTTGCGATTTATTGCAAAAAATGACAAGGAGCAAAATATAATACCTAAAAAGTTGCAATGTTTTTCTCAAAAGCTCATTTCTGGTTTTTTTTGTTGTTAAATATAATACAAGGACTGGCATCTTTCGCACCAGCTGCCCTCTCATTTCCTCCCCCTTTTGCGGCAAATTTGAAACAGAAGGATTTCCTCTTTTCCCCTTTTTTCATCGAGACTTTCATTGCGTACACCTGGATTCCCATACACTTTAAAAAGGAATGTTTTGGGAAAATCGGAATTCATAGTCGGTGAGAAAAATTCCAGGAAACATATCCATTGGAGAGATCCATAGGAGGGACTAACAATAAAATGTGTTTCAAAAATGTGGTTTAAAACAACATATCGTATACGCTCTAATCGAAGCCAAACCCAATCCGTCAATTTTGGGCTCAATTATCTCGGTTCCTGTGAGAGATATCAACAATTCGTCAATTGGTAAAATGTTTCTGATAAAATGATAAATATTTTGTAGGTTGATCGATTTTTGATATCATTTTTTTGAGATAACTGAGCTTGAAGATGATGGTTTGGGTTTTCTTTTATTAGTGCAATAATTATTCCTAAATCAATAAATGTACACCATCACGAAAAAAATGCATACTCAGCGTAACTCCAAAAAAAAACAGCGAGAAAATTATTAGTGCAGGTATCGGATGGGCTTCTGTTAGAGTGTTCACTTTTTTTGTTCCAGAATTTCAAAAATTATCCACAAACCTTCTCGAATACTGTTTTACGCTCATTATCTTATTACCCACACTCATTAACAAATCCTTCCGTCTTCCAAGCCTCATGTTCCTTTTCGGACCCAAAATGAGCAGATGATATGCTTGAGCCTTCTGTTGTGCACCTGGAACATCCCCAGTCTTTTCGAGACCACCTGCCCCCATCACTTTCCTTCCAATTGAAATGAGGATTAACCCATGTGCTACGTAATATTGGAAAATTGGAGGAAGGTACTGTTTCATGAGACTAAATATTAAAATTACTGTTCTAACTGGTAATCATTTTTGAAAGGAAACAAGGAAAATACTGTCGATTTATTGGTAAGTGGACAATTGAAACTTTGAAAAACGAGACTTTTAAGAGCCTATGACCCTCTAGGAGTTGAACTTACGGTCAAAATATTGTAGGCCCGCATTGTTACCAGCTGAACTACGCGGTCGCAGCTGCGAAACAAAATTACACCAATCCTGGTCTTGGCAAAATTGAGCAGATGATATTCTGGGACCTTCTGTTGTGCACCTGGAACATCTCTTCTGCGTCCCGTTACCCCCTTACCACCTGTCCCTTTTTTCCTTTCATGTCAAATTTATGAAGGATTAGAATATTGCATTATGTATACTGAAAAAATTATGGCTCCGAATATAAATTACTGTAGATCCTCTAACAAAAGCCCATCAAAAACGTCAACTTTGAACTCAAATATCTCCATTCCTGTAAGAGATATCAAAAATGTGTCAACTGATAAAATATAGGTGATAATATGATGAACAATTTATTAGTTAGTTACTTTTTTATATCTTCTACAAAAACCGAAATAATTGAGCTCAAAGTTGATGGTTCGGGTGGGCTCATATTAGAGGATGTACGGTGTTTTTGAAAATAAAGTCCATCGGTTGGAATCAATCCTGAAATTAAGACTCTGGTTTTCTAATGTAATTGCCTGGTGCATCTACCCTCGAACTCCTTCTAAAGGTTCCCTCTAACCACGCAACGACACTCCGCTATCCCGCTCGGCGCGCGCACAGTTTAAATTTAGTTTTTGAGGGATTGCGAGCTTGGATTTGGCTCGTAGTTTTTGAGAGACTCTTTTAAGGATTTCAAGTGAGTTTGCTTGAATTCTAAGCTTTTATTTGTTGTTTCTTTCTAACTTGTTCATAACAAACCGATTTTGTTACATTTCTTGTTGATTTTCTTCTATTTTATCACAGGAACCTGATACCCCGGACATACCGCGGGCAATTATGTCCTATTGAAACATGATTTTTTTGTAATAAAAATCATAATTCATTTATTAATATCCACAAAAAAAAAATACAAAAATAAGTTAATTAACTAAAAGTAATTAAAAGTAAAAGTAATTTATAATTTCAATTTCTCTAGATCTGCATCAACTGGATTCGCATTTGGATCAATGTTTTCTTGCTGAAAACTTGAATAATCACTATCCATAGGTGATTTTGGAATTACAAAAATTTCCCGGAAAAGTTGTGGCAGATCTTCGTCGGCTAGCTGATCACGCATCCACCGACAAGTGGTTGCTTTGAATATTTTGTCTGGAATTTTTTTTTGGAATTCAGAATTCACTGTGAGTTTTTAGGAATCAGCATAGTCTGTAATTTTCAAACAAACCAAAAATATAAAATCTGATTTTAAGAAAAACTCCCGTAAATTCTATAAAAGAAGCCCACCTACTTTGAGCTTAATTATCTGGCATAGTATACAAAACATCAAAAAGTCGTAAACAGATAAAATGTAGGTGATAGTACTATAAACATTTTATCAGTTGACCCATTTTTGATATCTCTCACAGGAACCGAGATAATTGAGCTCAGAGTTGACAGTTTGGGTTGGGCTCCCAATGGATCAAACACGTGCACTTTCAGCTCAATTATCTCGGTTACTATAAGAGATATTAAAAATTGATAAACTGATGAAATGTAGGTGATATTGTGATAAACATTTTATCAATTGACCCTTTTTTTGATTTCTTTCATAGGAACCGAGATATATAGACTCAAAGTTGAAATTTAAGAGCTCCTCTATTATAATGTTTACATGATTATCTCAGAACTGAATTTTCAGGGATTTTGAAAAACATAACAACTTACCAATCTTCTCCAAATGCTCCAAAATTTCACTAATCGCTGTCATCATCGCTTTCTCATGCTCCCGTTTCCTCATCTTCACTCGAAAAGCATTAAAAACATTTTCATAATGAAATTCCAAATCCTTGAATCCATTCCTCGGATGAACAACCACCTGTGCAATCATCATCCCCAAATCTTCGTCAGTCACAAAATTCAACTTGATCAAATTCGATAATTTCACCAAGTCTCTTGTCAAATCGTCTCCAAAAATTAGTTCCAAACATTCAGAATCGAGAGTTCGTCCATCCGAAAACATCCATCCTTTTGGAGACAATCCACGAGCTACACGGAGACAGAAGGCTTGGAACATTGTCGTTTTTAGAACTTCTGGGGGATTTTGACAGTCTTCCAGTAGTCGTGTGTCTCGTACAAATGAAATTATACTTGAAATTTCTCGATTCATTTCTGGAATTATTATGGTCCAAGCATCAAAACGTCTATCGACAGGATGCATGTCGTGCGCCTGGAAATTTTTGAATTTAATTATTTTTAAGGTTTTTTTAATCAGTTAAACTCATTGAGAAGAATTGAATGAAGCAAAGGTTATGTTTGTTCTTTTACGAAACATTGGAAACCGAAAAATAATTTAGAAAATTCAAAAATCGTTAACCTTTGAGCTCAATTATCTCGGTTCTTATGAGAGATATCAAAAATTTGTTAACTGATAAATTGTTTACCATAATGTCATCAATATTTTATTAGTTAACAAAATTTTGATATCTTTCATGAAAACTGAGATAATTGAGCTCAAAGTTGACAGTTTGGATGGGCTTCTATTAAATGTTTTTAACTTTGAGCTTAATTATCTCGGTTCATGTGAATGATATCAAAAAGTGGTCAATTAATAAAATGTTATTGATAATGTTATAAATATTTTATCAATTTACTGATTTTTGATATCTTTTATAGGAACTGAGATAAAAGAGTTTGAAAACAACTCACAATTTTTATCATTTCTGACTCCCCAAATTTCTCTAAACCTGTTTCAGTGAGCACACATTCCCTCATATGAACTTCGATAATCCAATGGGCTAACTGTAAAATAGTAAATATGTTTTTTTAGAAAAAAGTGTCTTACCTTCATAAAAAGAATCTTCTGTTCTCTGGTCATCTTGAGAACATCATCGACGGGCTCTGAAAATCAATGAATTAGAAGTTTCCAATTTTGAATTCCCGCCAAAATGGGAACTTCCAGAATCCGGGAATTCCAGTTTTTACGTTGAAAATCCAATTTCGATAGTTTTAGAAAACGTTGGATTTAGAAAACCCATTTTTCTGGCTCAAAATGCAAATCCAATTTTTGTGAAATTTCAAAATCAACCCCATTTTTTCGAATTTTCTCAAAAAACTTACTATCCATAGTCATCCCATAATCTAAACACTTTTGAAATCTGCATGCCTGACATTCAGTTCGATTTGTTGGATTAATTGAACATTTCGTTTTGCTCCTCTTTTTGCATCTCAATTTAAGACTATTCGGATGGTTGCGATGGAAGAATTTCTGGAATTCAAAATTGATTTAGAATTTTTTAAACAAGCAATGTTAATAAACTTCCAGTTTCAAAAACATCTTAAAATGAGCCGAACGTTTTCTTTCAGTTTCATTAAGTTTTTGCCATACATTTCAAGTTGAAATTTTCAAGCTCAATAGTCTCAATTTCTGTGAGAGATATCGAAAATTTGTCGACTGATAAAATTTTTGCCTTAAAATTTCCAACATTTCACTAGTTGACCATTTTTTGATATCGTTTACAAGAATTGAGATAATGCTGGGAAGACAGTTGAACAACTAAAAGCAAACATTTCTGCCCGTTTTCAGATGTTCTTGAAACTGGAAATGTATGTTTAATGTCATAAACTTCTAAGAGGAATTTCAAAATTTTAAGATTTCGCGGGATTTTCAAGAAATTGACAAATTTGAAAACTGACAGTATTATGCTTACCGTATTTCCTCCAATAGAAGCCCATCCATATAGTCAACTTTGAGCTCAATTATCTTGGATCCTATGAGAGATAGCAAAAATTTGTCAACTGATAAAATTTTGGTGATATTATGATAAAAATTTCATCGATTGACAATTTTTGATATCTTTCAGAGGAATCGAGATAATTGAGCTCAAAATTGACAGTTTGATTTCTAAACTTTGAATTACCTCCAAACATTCTCACCTTACACCCTTCACACGTTTTAACACCATAATTAATTCCAGTCGCATCAACTTCACAAATCAAACATAATCCCAAATTCAAAATTTTCTTTTTCACCGTTTTTTCAATAATCCGAGCTGAAAAGGTCGGACGAAATGGAGCTGTAGATGAGCTTGAAGACGCTGGAATTTTTGAATTTTTTGGAATGGCGGGAATTCAAAATTTCCTATAAACCCACCGATCGATTCTTGACTTTCTCCGGAATCACTCCACCGACTATCCAGCGATCTGGAGCTGGGAAACTCGTCGTAATACACATTTTGTTGGTATTCTTGATGCTGAAAATTCTAAATTAATTTCAAAAATTACAATTTGTACATACCGTAATCCGTTTTTTGTCTGAAAATGGATACATACCAAACGAAGGGAAAATGTGAAAGAAATCGATAAATTTGATGTTTCTGAAGAAAATTGAAAATTTGATCTACTAGAAGTTCGATGAATAGTTTTTGATCTACTACGCAAAAAAGGTTATTAGGTTTAAAACTTTGTTTTTTTCTAAATTTCAGCCAAATCTTTTTATCTGCTCCCTGGTGATTAGATACCATAATCCGAAATAGCAGCGAGATTTTGCCCCCACTTTCCGTTTTTCGAAATGTTGATTTTGAAGCCTTCTGGAGACGTTCCTTGATTTCATCACAGTGAAAAAAAGGGTGGTGGTACTTCTCCCCTGGGAAGAGAGGGCAAGGGCGAGAGGGGAGGAAAAAGCGATATTGTATGCGCCATCTCCACCGCCCTTAAATATAAAGTCGAAAGCAGATTTTAGCTTAATTTGTCCGAATGCCTTGAAACTTAAATGAAGAAAGGTCAAATAACGAAACATATTAAGTTTAAGGTTGGGAGTCTCGGTATGAAGGGCGCAAAGCGCTAAAGCTATATTACAAGATCGAAAAATTTTCAATTTCTGAAATTGTAAACTTGAAATTTCGATTTTCCGAGTTAGAATTTTTACTATTCTGTACTTCTGTGTCATGAATTTCCGGGGTTATCAAATTTCCGTATTTTAGAGATCTTAATTTATTTTCGAACTTCAGATTTCTGAATATCTGAATTTTGAAATTTCAGAAACGTTGATATTAAAAAGTTTCAAAATCAGGAATTTTGGAATTTGAGCCTCTCTTAATTCCTTTTTTAAAATCTTCAAGTTTCAGATATTTCGAGTTTCGGTTTTTCCGAAAAAAAAGAAGAAAAAACAAGCACGTTTCCTGAAATACTTATTGTATTGAACGATTTCCGAGTTCAATTTCCGAATTGTCGAACATCTAAAAAATCGAATTGTGGAGATTCTGATTCACTGAACTTGCCATTTTTCAAATTAAGATTTGAAGTATTCAGAAATTACCAGTTCTCGACTTTTAAGAATATGAGACTTTTTGAATTTTTATTCTTTCCGAATTTATGAACTTGAAGTTTTTATGAACTCTAAAAAATGCACAAATTTAGCAATTTGGAAATTCGGAGATTTTCGGAATTCAAAATTTCAAAATTTCACACTTTCAAAATTTCTAAACCCTCGGCTTAAAAATTTCGATTATAATTTTTTAAATTATATTTCTTTACCACAGTTTCATAGCTTAACGAAGACAATATATAAAAAGCTTTCTAGATATTTTTCCTGAGGAAGCCCCAGAAGGAGTTGAACTCATGAGCACACGATCAGGGGAGTACAACGTCGCTACCGGATGAGCAAAGCGGGCGCGAAAATGACTGTCGCAAAACCACGACGCGATTTTGTTCCCCAAACTGATCTCCAAACTTTTTGCTGTCTCTTAAACAAAACTATCATTTTCAATAATTAAGGGCTTTGCAAGCTGGAACAAAGAAGTTTAGTCCCGAAAGGGCGCCAACAGACTGTCAGTCAAGTTTACGAAAGTGAATAGTATTTCGCAATTTACTAAAACTACATTTTTTCAAGATTTGAACGTTGCGTGTGAAGCCAGGAGATTGTAGCCGCCGACAGGCGGCGGAAATCGACTGGTTATTTTATCAGTTGACAAGTTTTTGATACCTCCCACAGGAACCGTGATAATTTAGTTCAATCTAGACAGTTTTGCTTACTCTAAAACCAAGTTTTGCTTACCCTAAAACCTGTGTTAGAAGCCACCCAAACCGCCAACTTCGGGTTCAATTATCTCAGTTACTATCAGAGATAACAAAAATCTGTTCACTAATAAAATATTGATGTTGTTATGATAAACAGTTTATTAGTTGACAACTCGTTTGATATCTTTCACAGCAACCGAGATAATTGAGCTCAAAGTTTTCCGATTTTACATTAAGCTCAATTATCTCGGTTCCTAGAAGAGATATCAACAATCTGTCAACTGATAAAATATTTATCATAACATTATCATTATTTTATCAGTTGACCAATTTTTGATACCTCCCACAGGAACGGTGATAATTTAGTTCAAACTAGACAGTTCCTGCTTACCTTCAATGTTCCGAATTTAAACTTTATTTCAGATTTTTGACTTGTCTAGAAAATCATGAAATCACTTTGTTCCTGGTCTAGACTCCCACTGTCAGGTTGTATGATGTAGGGTTATATCACCTGATCCGGTCAGTATCCCACGATACGCAGGTCCCTGGGAACCCAAGGATGTATAAAAGGAAATTAGATTTTTGTTTCTATATTTGTCATTTTTCATTCCCCCAGCGTTTCTTAGTGTAAAATTGTTCCTTTACCAGAACTTCTAGCTACAACTTTGGCTTACCATGATGTCCCAAGACTCCCAAGATCCTTCGGACCTTCAGAAAATTCTGGCTCCAGTCTTCGCTGGCTTCAATCGTACCACTGAAGCAGCCGATGCTGATGGATCAATGAGCTTCATGCATCCACAGGGAGTCATCGTCCAAAAGGATACCACTTCGACTTTTGGGAAGGAAGGTGAGCAAATTTCGGATCAAACATTCGAACCTCTAGACATTCCAGCCCTCACCAATCTCTTCAAAACCTGGTACGACTTCACTGGACCCTACTATTTCAAGGTAAGCCTCTAAAAATGTTTTAAACTTCCAGAAAATCTCATAAAAATGACTTTCCAGCGCTCCAACGAGAAGTACAGCGGAGGCGGGGATTGGATTGTGGTCGAGGCAAAGATGGAGCTCGAGAAAGTTGATGGAAGCGGAGTGATCCTTCGTGGCGACGTCATGCACATTTGGAAGAAGGAAGACGACAAGTGGTTCATGTTCTATGAGCAATATCATGTTGATAAGGAGGAGTGATTTGATTTAATCTGTGTAATGAAGATTTGTTAATAAAAAAATTTTGTGTTTCAAAAAGTGTGTTTACATTAGCACAGATTGCAAATCCCCAATTGATTGAAATCGATTTGTTTTGGTAACATTCAAGGAGGGGGAATATGAAAAAAATTGCGAGATTCCGTTTCTATTCGACTTTCGAGGAGTTGAACTTGTGAACCTCACGCTGGAGATTCCGCGCCGCTACCAGCTACGGTGGCATAGCCCCCTCCGATGGCATTAAAGCAGTCCACCCAAACACTCAACTTTCAGCTCCATTATATAACTTCTTATGAGAGATATCAAAAATCTGTCAACTGATAAAATATAGCTGACTTTATGATAAACATTTAATGAAAAGGAGGAGTGATTTGATTTGATGTGCCTAATGAAGTATTGTTAAGCAGCAAGCTGGTGCGCCTTCGGCGCGATTCAATCTATTTTTTTAAAATGGTTCGTCGCTAGGTGTCTCACTTTTTCTAAAAGGGTCACGTAAATCTATATGTATTTTTCAAGTTTTTCAAAAGTTGACAGACGGACGCCTCTAGCGTTTTATTTATATGCAAAAAGTTTTCAATTGTTGAAATTTAGAAATAGTTTTTTTAATATGAAACCATCCTGTACCGTTTAATAAGAAATACGAAAACGGGGATTTATCAGTTGATTTTTGTCCATTTCCAATCACTTTGGAAATTTTCGAGTATTCGTAGAACAGAACTACATTGAAAATCATGTATTTTCATAATTTTTTTGGAAATTCCTAGTTTTTCAGCTATCTGTCGAAAGAAAAGGGGATCTTTCAGAAATCGGCAAATAGCTGAAAAACTAGGAATTTTCTTTAAATTCTGTAAATGCAAAGTTTTCAATGTAGACCTATTTTACACCCTCTAAAATTTTCACATCAATCGGAAACATGACCGCTGAGCTTCAGACTTCTGAAAATGGTCAAAATGACCCAAAATTGACTCTTAAACAAATTGTTGTATATATCATTGACGAATACTGTAGAACCCAATATCTGGGTCATTACCTAAAAATCCAATCGAGTTTGAGTTGGAAATTTTCTAGGTCATGACCTAGAAATACCTAATTTTCATAGTTTGTAGTCTACTGATAATCTTTAACCATTTTCCCACCAATCAGGTGCCAGTTTTTCCAGGTTCTCAGGCCATTGACGCAAGTTGAGGATCAGAAATTTTTAGATTTTTTTTGAGGGCGTGATCGAACGAAAACTCTTCTGGATCTTGCGAAAAGTGAAGACATTTGGGATCATTTGAGACATTTGAGACATTTGGGATCTGAAAAAAAAATCTAAAAAATTGGAATTTCGAATTATAAAAAGAAAACTCGTTTATTCAAAGAATTAGAAGGCAGTGACAAAAGCCGCTACTCGTAAGGATTTGGCAATGTTCCAATTGATAAAAAATTCCGATTAGAGCGCATTTGCATTTCTCAATATCGAATGTTGTGCTCGATTTGGACCCGTTGGATTTCTTCGCTGAATCTCTGAAAAAACTGGCAGTGGATTTTGAGTTTTTTTTCTGTTTTATGTAGTATTTCAAAGAGATAATGTTTTGGATTTTTGATTATAGAACTTTAAAGAAGATAAAAATGAGTAAGATTAAACATTCCTACCCTATGTCTCCGTTTCGCCGACTCTATCCTTTTCAGCAAATTCTGAATATCCATTTTTCGTTTTTCAACACTTCGATCCAACATTTCAAACTCCTCCAACATCATTCTAGGGACAAATTCAGGAGTTTTTCGAGAGAAATTGAAAATTGAAGCAGAAGACGTTGACGCCGAATTGAAGGTCCCAACAGGAAGAGACGAGGGGCGGAGCCTAATTGATGGGTCTGAATTTTTTTTTTGGAATTTCCTTTTTGAAACCTTAATTTTACCTCCTATGAATTTCATTGGAGATGGTTGCTCATCCTCTATGTCTTCTTCTTCTATCAAATTATCCAATGAGATTTCCGAAGAAATACAAGATGACGTGGATTTTGGAGAACCTTCTGGCGTTTTGGAAATTTTCCAATCTTCAATCTTGAGTTGGAAGTCTTGCTCCAACGAATGTTCGGATTCTATATTTGGCAAACCCTCTGTTTCTAGAAGTTTCCGAGAAATAGATTCTTCTGGAAGGTCTTCAGAACTTCTTTTTGAATTCTGACTGACGTCTTCTGAAATCGAGGAATCTTCTGGATCTTCTGGAGCTTTAGATAAAGCTTCACAGGGAAAGAAGGTGTTTTTAGTTTCAGTAGTTTTTGGCAGGAGAAGAGAATTGGAATTTTTAGAATTGGGTAGTTCCTGAAAATTGAAAAATTGGTTTTTTTTAAATTTGTAAATCTTTAAAATTCGAAAATCTACTGTAATATTTGAAATTCGATAAACTAGAGTGATATGTGAAATTAAAATTTACAGTTATCTTTGAAATTCATAAAACTACAGCAATTTTCGAAATTCAAAATCCTTTCTTTTTTTTGAAATTCAGACTACTATAGTAACCTTGCAGAATCCGAAATCTACAGTAATTTTCAAATTTTGAAAAACTACAGTAATCCTTGAAATTCAATTCAAATTCGAATTCGAAAAATTTCATTAATCTTTGAAATTCGAGAACTACAATAATCATTGGAACTCAAATCATACCGTAATCTTGAGAATCAATAATTACTGTAATCTCTAAAATCCAAAATCTACAGTAGTCATTAAAATTCAACAACTACTGTAATCTTCAATGTTCAAAGAACTACAGTAATATGTGAAATTAAAATTTACAGTACTCTTTTTAAAGGGCATAAAATATTTCAAACTGAAAATGTTTACAGTAATGTAGGAAATTCGAAAACCTACTGTGACTTCTGAAATCCGAAAAACTGCAAATTCAAAAATTAAAGTAATCTTTGAAATTAAAAAATCACAGTAATCTTTGAAGTTCGAAAGCTACAGTAATCTTTGAAATCGAAAAACTACAGTAACTTTTTTTAAAAACATGAAATATTTCAAACTTGAAAATTTCTGCTGTTTCCGAATCATTTCAAGATTAGAGTTAATTGAAGTTTTTTTAATACATTTCCCGACAGCATTTCTAAATTTGGAATTAATTTTCCCGGAATTTTTGGAAATTCAGTACTTTTTATTATGTTAGATAAAAAGTTCGGGACGATTTCGGATTCATTAAAGCATTCAAAATATTCCCCAAAAAATTAATAAATAGAAACAGAAAATTTATTTTTCTGATATTGAATGTTTTTACTCACCTTATTCCCATTTTCCTTCTTTTTCCCAGCAACAAATCCCGTTCCAAAATACACCAAAACGCCCAGAAAAATCAGTAAAATGAGCAATGTCAATATAAGAAACATAGTATTACAAATGGAGCAAAAACTCGGCTACAGGGGTCCGTCAACAGGAAATGGACCATCTGCTGACGGGAATTGTGTATGAACATGAAGAGCAAGATGATGCTCATATATGCATTTCGGAGCAGCAGATGGAGCCAAGGGGTAGGAGAAGAAGAAGGATGCGGGAATTTCAGGAAACGAAAAAGAAGGAGAAGAAGACAATTTTATTTCTCGAGAGGGAAAGAAAAAGGACAAGGGAGAGATATGGATGGGGATAGAGGGTCCCTAGGAGGAGAGAGAAGAGACGCAGAGAACAGAGGAAGGGTCATTTGTCAAATTGAAGGGGAGAAGCTGAATAATATTGAATTTACTTTTTTTTTCATTGTTAAAAATTGGAAATTTGAAACATTGATGTTCAGAAATTCCATTCCATAAAATGGGAAAGTTTAATTGACCGTGAATCTTGGGCCCCATAACTTTTAACTTTGAGCCAGTTTATCTCGGTTCCTGTCAAAGATACAAAAAAGTTGTCAACTGATAGATTGTTTATCATATTATCAAAAATATTTTATTAGTTGACACATTTTTGATAACTTGCATAGGAGCCGAGATAAATTGGCTCAATTCCTTTGTCGATCAGGACTATTTTTTGTAAAAAACGTTTTTTTTTTCTTTACACTTTGTTTCAAATACACTTTGAGTTTTTCTTTTTTTCTGAAAACTTGATAGATCTTTCTTGTTGGTTAGAGCTGACCAAAAATCAAAAATCTCTCGAAAAAACAACAAAAAATCATGTGATATCAGAGAATTGATTAGTTCAAAAGAAAATTTTTCCTCTTTCACTTTCTTTTTATCTCAAAAATGATGAATTTGGTTTTTTTAGTGTTATTGATAATTCATCTAAACAAGTCGAAAAATGTACTGTGAACAATTAATTTTTGGCACCTATGTTCACTTTGAGCTCCATTATCTTGGTTCTTATGAGAAGTATCAAAAATTTTTCAACTGATAAAATGTTGGTGATATTATAATAAATAATTTACTAGTTGAAAGATTGTTGTTATTTTTACGGGAAATGAGGAAAATCGGCTTGAAGTTAAGCTTCATTTAGAGCCGCCAGTAAGCCGCCACTGATTTGTAGCAGCCAAACTTTGAGCTCCGTTATCTCGGTTTCTGTAAGAGACATAAAAAAATGTTCAACTGATAAAATGTTGGTGATATTATGATAAGTAATTTACCAGTTAAAAGATTTTTGATATCTTTTACAGAAAATGAGATACATGGGCTCAAAGTTGACGGTTTGGATGGACATCTATTAGAGCAAATGCAGTAGGAGCCGAAATTTAGAAAATTGCTTATTTTTGAATTTTAAAATTTTCTCTTTATGTTTCTCATAATTCTCAGATTTTTTAAGCATTTTAAGAATTTAAGCTTCCTAGATTCTTAATTTCTTTAATATTTTAAATACAATTCTAGAATTTTCAGAATTTCGATTCCCAAAAAGATGAAAAACTTTCTCCAGCTCATTTTTGGAATTCTGCTAATTTTAAAAGGTGAAAAGTAAAGATCTTGCAGAGAAGTCAGTACTAAATGCGTTACAGTTTCCCCCTCTCCTATCGAAAACTCGAAACAGCACGAAATAATTGCAAGTCTCAACGATTTTCGCTCGAAATTTGCCAAAATTGCTCAAATCGCCAACATGTATCAATTAGTGAGTGTCCTAAATTACCCTCCAATTTACATACAATTTTATTTTCAGGAATACAGTAATCTCCGTGAGAATGAGGCTAAAAACTACACAAATTACTGTTCACTACCCAAAGATTTTCTCGAAAATCAACCGAATTACGAGCCAGTACCTGAACAGTTTGTGAAGAAATTTCTGGAATATTCAGAGGATCATTTGAAGGATTTGAACAAAACTGACCAATTTTTTGGGACCAAATATTATTTTTCGGATGTTCTAAGACCGCTGTACATGGAAGTTGGATGTGCGAAATCGGAAAAATCCTGTGCGCTGAAATTGAAAAACACGGCATCGAAAATTTTGGATGGTCAAGGGATTTCGGTTGATTATGTATGCATTTTTGGACCATAGTGAGTGAATTTTTGTCCATTTCCAACTTTCTAGCTCATCTAGAAGTCGAGATATAGCCGTCCAAAGTTTCGGGAGGTTAGAGACGCCAGACGACGAGACATACTGCGTCTCTAACCTCCTGAACGTTGATCGGCTCTATCTTGGCTCCTAGGTGAGCTGGAAAGATGGTTTTTTTTTCATTGAATTAAAGCGAATTTGTATGTTTTTTTAAGTACAATAGGAAAATTTCTCATTTCCTTGATGCCAAGATTCTGAATTTCAGCATGGAACCGGCGGACTTGGACCGGATCCATGGTCCACCTGGTAGCGCTTGTGTTTATGGAAAAGCTGAAAATGGAATTCTTTGTAAAAAAGCGACGGTGCTGGAAGCGATTGATTAATTTTAAATGTATGAATTTTATTTTTTCAGTTTCAAGATTTTTTGTATTTTTTGTGATAAATTTTTTAAATTCTAATTTGACTACAAATGATGATTCTAATGGATAAGAAATTCAAGTTTCCCAAAGACATGATTGAATAAACTTGGTGCTCATATTTTTCATAAATCTCTTTGTCATACACAGCCAGCAATGGGCTGGTGGTCTAGTCGGTCAGTGTTCCACGGTTCACTGGAAGGCAGCATCACTAGAACAGGGCTCGCCACTCATGCTGAGGATCAGACTGCGAACAATGGGGTTTTTGGTTGGTTTTTCCCCCCGTAAAAATCATTTTCCCTTTCAATGTACTGAGCCTCTACGCGGCGAAAGGGATCAACAGACGAGAGTCTGGCTAATCAGTACCAAAATTCTGAAATAAAATTTCAGTTTCATTTTGGTTTAAAATATGAAAAGAAGAGATTTTCTCCATTCCTTTTCTTTTTTGAACTTTAAAAATGGAATTTCGAAAAATTTTTTAAAAATCAATTGTCAAAACTTTTTGTGTGGTAGATCAAATTCGAACAGCGGCAAAATCTGAATTTTGATTTTTCTCTGTTCATTTTTCGTCATTTTGTTCATTTTTTTCACATTTTTTCAAGATTTTCCTTGTTTTTCGGCTCTTTTTATACTATATATTTTCAGAATTTTATGTGAAAATTAAAACTTCAGACCCATCGCCAACTAAATTCTACTAAAAATCAAATTAACTTTCAAAATTAATTAACGAAGTTCGAGAAAAATCGAAAAATGGAAATTCCACAGAAAAGAGAGAAGATGCAGGAACCGTAAGTCTTTTTTTGATTACAAATTCTGAAAAAATCTGAAAATGTGGAATTCTGAAGTTCTGGAAATCTGGAATTCGAAAATTCGAGAATATCATTGTAAGAATAAAAGAATACCATGAATACCATGAATCCCCAAAAACCCAAGAATCCAAAAATTCCAGAATCCAAAACCCAAGAATCCAGAATTTTAGAATTACAGAATTCCGGAGTTCCAGAATTTCAAAACTTCCTTTCGGATTCTTGGGATTCGTGAGATTCTGAATTCCCGGAATTCTGAAATTCTGGAATTCTTCGATTCTAGGATTTTTCGCATTTCTGATTTCTTAGAATTTTTAGAATTCAGAATCTCGGCAGTTCTGAAATTTTGAAATTGAGTTTCTTGAATTCTAGGAATCTTAAATTCTGGAGATCTCTAATTTTAAAGGTTCTGAAACTTAAGATTACAGAATTCTAGAATTGGAGAACAGGTAGCTTGAAAATCCAGAAAATTCAACAATCCATGAAACCAAGAATTTGAGAATTCCGAAATTTCCGGGTTTCAGAATTTCAGAATTTCAGAAATTCAAAACTTCCTTTCGAATTCTTGGGATTCTTGAATTCTGAAGTCCTGGAATTCTGAAATTCTGGAATCATTGAATTCTTGGATTTTGGGATTTTTGATTTCTTGGATTTTTGGAATTTCGAATTTTTGAATTTTTGAATTTTAGGATTTCAGAATTTCGAAATTTCAGGGTTTGCTATATTTTTGGATTTTCTGGATTCCTATGATTCTGAAATTCTAGAATTTTTGAATTTTTTAACTTTCAGACTCATCAAAAAGTTCCGCTACACTCCTGTCTACTTCCTCGACAACACATCCACCTTCTCAAATTGCCGATTCACTCGAGAATTTATAAAAACGTTTCCCGAAGACTATCTGGAACCGATTTCTGGAATTTCTCATGCTGGAAATCAGAAAATGCTGAAAAAATACAAAAATCCAGTTATTGAAGTCTTCGGAGCACTGGAAAATCCAAAAAAGAGCCGATTGTGTGAGCCGATTTCGAAATTTTTGGAATTTTTGATTTTTTTTCGAATTTCAGAGATATTTCGAACTTTAAAAAGTCAGGAAAACCATCCAAAAAAGCGGCTACAAATCCAGAAATGCAAAGCTACAGTAATCTGGAAGCTTTGGAGAATCCGGTATACTCCAAATAGAAGAAAATCAATTAAAAAAAATGTTTTCAGATCAATAGTGCTCTGATAGAAATGCTCGAAAATCCCGGGAAAAAGAGATTTGAAGATCACAATTATGCAGCTGAAAATAAAGAAAATGTGAACAATCAGCGGAAATCGAAAGGAAACAAAAATTCGAGAAAAAGGAAAAGTTTGGAAAAGAATACGGTAGAGGAGAATAAGGGTGAGCAATGAGTAAAAATAAAAAAAATATTTCAGTTTCATTCTGGTTTTAGAAGTTTTGAGAAATTCGAGTTTCGTTAATCTCTGAATCGGCACTGCAAAATTTTTTGAAGTTTTTGAAATTTTCTAGGTTCTCAAAATCACTAGGTTATCATATTTTTATTTTCCAAGGTTTTGTTGGATTCTTAGATGTTCAGAATTTTGGTTTTTATCATATTCAAGGTCCTGAAGATTCTGAGAAATCGATAAAAACCTTTTAAAATTCTGTATTTTCAGATTCTTTGGGAATTTTGAATACCCCCCCCCCCCTCAGATTCTCAATTTCAGATTCTCAGAATGTCAGAATCTCAGAATCTCGAAATCTCAAAATCTCAAAATCTCAGAATCTCAGAATCTCAGAACCTCGAAATCTTAGAATCTCAGGATCTCAGATCTTCAGAATCTCAGAATCTCAGAATCTCAGAAATATTATGTCACAGGATCTCATAAATTCAGTAATTCAGATTCTCAGATTCTCAATGTCAGATTCTTCATTCCCAAACTTCGGGATCAAGAAATTCAGAAGTTTTGAAACTCTAAATTTCTGGAAGTCTAAAATTTCAGACTTCCGAAAATCTGAAAATCTGAAATTCTAAAACTTCCAATTATTCTTGAAAACAAAAGATTTCAGTTTCACAGACTTTTTGAATTCTGATATATCAATTTTTTGATTGTTGAATCTTCAGTGCAATGTCCAGTTTTTTCAGATTCTTACCAAAACCATCCAACCACATTTCCGACTGCCTCTGACCAATCTTCAACATCTGAAACCAAAAAAGTTGCCTATACGAAATTTCAACTGGCCACAATGAGAGAAATGTTTGAAAAACACGAATATCCAGAGCTGAAAACCTTGGAAGTGATGGCTGAAAATCTGAAATTGGATGTTTTGGCGGTTCAGAACTATTTCAATCGTCGACGTCAGCTGAAAAGTATTCTAGAGCAAATTGGAAAAGAGAAAAGTGGATGATGAGCAATTGGATTACTGTAATCTTGAATTCCTATGACTATTTTTATCCGGTTATGTCCATTTTCCTAGTACTAATGCTTCTAATTCATTACTGCGATTTTTCGAAATTTTTGAAAAATTTGCCATTGATTTATTGTTTGATTAACTGGATCTATTTATTTACAACATGTTTTGAAATGAAACACTGATTTTCTTTGGAAAATTTTTTTGTGTTTCAGATATAACATATATTATGAGTGTTTTTTTTTCAGACGATATTCCGAAGATATTTTCAACTTTTACATCGAAAAATGCGGAATTTCGATTTAGGATCGTTTTCCAGTCATCTGGAAAAATTAAGCCCTTTAAAAAGAGATGCAGTGACTTTGTTTCTGATTTTCGCTTCAATGAGTATTGAAACATATAATTCTGTTTCATCTTTATTTGATATGTCGGGAATTTGATATGTCGTTCAATTTGAAAACTTTAGAAAGTCTACTAATTCGAACAATGTTGCTCATCTTTTTAAAACGTAAAATCTCTAAAAGAAGCTTCCATGTGTACTGTCAAGTTTGAGGTTTATTATCTTGGCTCCTTTAAGAGATATCAAAAAATAGTTAACTGATAAAATTTTTCTGACCAGCAAGCTGGTGCGCCTTCGGCGCGATTCAATCTATTTTTTTTTCAAATGTTCGCCGCTTCGTTTCTCACGTTTTCTAAATAAAAGGGTCACGTAAATATATATGTATTTTTCAATTTTTTCGAAAGTCCACAGACGGACACGAGGACGGACAGACGCCTCTAGAATTTTATTAATAAGGAAGATATTATAATTAACAAGTTATTAGTTGATCACTTTTTTTTGTATCTTTGACAGGAACCGAGATAAATTGGTCCTAAGTTGAACGTTAGGGAGCCCTTCTATTACAGATTTTACGGTAGCTACTTTCTCGTGTTATAAAGTGGATGAAATTAGATAAGAAAATGCAAAAATCGCTAGAAAATTGTTTTTTTTTTCGAAAATAAAATAAATTTAGGACGAAGTCAAAAATTCCATTTGGGTGTTGTTGAATAACTACAAAAAAGTCATTATTTTCTTTTTTTTCTGTTTCAGAAAAGCCATATGACATTTTTCTGATTTTCGCATTCAGTTCCTTTCGTTGACTCCAGTTGAAAGAATTTCAGAGTTAAAAAAAACATATTCTTTTTTTTTTTTCGTTTTTCTGTGGTTTCCTTGTATCATTTTTTCTTTACTTTTCAAAAATAGAATACACAATGATTCTCTTAATTGCAGCAACCCGGAAACTAATACTTTCCCAGCAAATAACTTTCTTTTCATTATTTTCCCAGACATGCCCTCTTTTGTTTTCAGGAATATATATTTTCCAGATGCTGTCTCCTGATTTTTGACTGCTGACACCCTTATTTAATAGACCTTATTTAATTGATCCTTGTTATTCGATTCACGCGCATTCATTTTTTCCACTCGTCATAGGCTCCGCCCACTTTTTTCCCATGACTTGGGAACTTGGAGTTTGATTCTGAGAAGAAGAAAAGAGCAATTTGAGTTTTGGAGTATTGGAAGATCCTGAAAATCTAAAACAATCACCGTTTCAGAATGTTCCAAAGTAGCAAATCTAATTTTTGAATATTTGATTGTTTAATATTTTTTTTGAGTTGCTATCAAATTTTTGGATTAAAAATATTCTTTAAAGTATCATTTTTGTTACTTGGGTTCCATTATTTTTTGGTTATCAGAATCTGAATTTTAAACTCATACATTACATTTTTTCAGCACTCCAAAATCCAGGAAAAAAATGGTCGTCACCGATTTCTACTCGCTTCCGATGGTCACTCAAACCGGTGACTATACCCAAGAAACATTGGAAAAAATAGTGGAGACTGTGCAATTTTCAATTTTCTGTTTCACTTTTCCATTTTACATTCTGGTGACCTATTTCATGTTGGACGCCTTACACCGAGGAATTGATGAATTGTCCACTCCGTTTTTCAGATTATGCATCACAACTGCTTTTATTGATATTTGTGAGTTTATATTTTATTGATATACTGTAAAACCTGTGATGAAAGGCCACCCAACTTTGAGCTCATATATCTCAGTTTATGTAAAAGCTATCAAAAAGTGGGCAGCTGAAAAAATATTTTTGACATTATGATAAACACTTTATTTGTTGATTACTTTTTTATATCTTTCACACAATTCGATAAAAGTTGACTGTTCGGGTGGCCTTCTAGTGTTAACGGTAGTTGATGAAATACTTAGAAAAGCCCTGTATTATTTTCTGTTTCATTACAAATGTTTTATTTTAAAACAAAACCGTCAATTTTGAACTCAATTATCTCAATTCCTATGAAAAATAACAAAAATATGTCAACTGATAAAAAATTTCTGAAATTATGATAAACAATTTATCAGTTGACCACTTCTTGATATCTTTCATAGTAACCGAGAAAATTTAACTCAAAGTTGATGGTTTAAGTGCTCTTCTATTAGAGGAAATACGGTATTTTAAACTGAAACGAGGAAATCGTCTTTTCTGTTTTTTTTTAATTTGCTAACTTTTGTAAAATTTTTAGTTTGATCAGCTCACTATTTGCATGAATTATTTTCCTGTGATGTGAGCCTTAAAAAAAACATTGAGGGATGGAAAACAAATGCTTAGAGGCATGCTTAGATCTAGTAGAGTTTGTACTTTGGATATGAAAATTATGACTAGTATGGAACGGAAAAAAGTAGAAGTCGATTTTTCAAAAAAATATCGAAAAAGTCTAAATACATTTTTGTGCCGGAGAGATTTCAGGCCCATACTCCCAGGGGGCATCGAAATAGGGGGCATCGTGCTCAAAGGGGGCATTCACTCATAGGGGTCACTAACTCATCGGGGGCATCCTGAAGTTGTCTCTTAGGAGGCATCCCACCATGTCTCATAGGGGGCATCGGACCAAATGCTCCCATGGGGCATTGATAGTCTCATAGGGGTCATTGAGATCAATTTGAGTATATGATTCGGAATATGATGAATTTTTATTTTTACATCTTTTTCGTAGTTTTTTGAGGAAAACAAACACAATTGAAGACTATCAAAGGTGTTATTTCGGCGGGTCAACTGGGTAGAATTTCGGCCAAAAATTCGGGGGTACAATGATTCAGGGGTACAACTCATTTCATTCAGGGGTACAACGCTTGTGATTCGGGGGTATAGTTTTTTTTGAGGGAGTTTCTGAATTGTTGAATTTCAGAGCTTGAAAATCTCAAAATTCTTAGAATTTCAGAACTTTGAAATTTCAGTAATTCGGAATCTGAGAATTTTAGAACTTCAGAGTCTGAGAATTTCACTGTCTAATTAAACTTCTACGGAGTGGAAATCAAATACACGAAACAGGAAAAAAAAACTTTTTTTCAAAAAAAATTTTCAGGGACCCTCCTGAACAATTATCTGGGTGCAATGCTCCCCAAATGGGGATGGGGAACTCGTGTTTATTTATTTTTGGATGTTTACTATGCACATACTTATTTGTATTTTGCATGGGCGTCTGGTAAGTATTTAATTAGCAATTAGGGTAGTTAAATATGGCAATTATAAAGTTATGGACCTTAAAATGATTCCAATCTTGAACTTTGAATGAGTCATTGTGTGCTGAAAGTTTTGGAAATTGATTAAAAGTGTCTAGAAAATTACTATTTTCGCTATTTTGAAAAAAAACGGTTTCAGGATTTTTATAATTTTGAAAGCAGTTTTTAGAATATTCATCATAACTTACTCATTCGGATATATAATTGAAAATTCTGTTTCAAATCTTTGACGAATTAGGAATCATTTTCTGAGATATTCTGTAGATAATAAAATAAAAAGATTATAAGCTTTTCAAACTTTTAGAATCCAAAATTTCGAAAAAAGAGATCTTTTGATTTTTGATTCCAAATTTTTTTTTGCAAAACTAAAAATAAATGTCTTATGACTTTCTCATGGATGGGAACCTATTTTTATTTCTGTTTCACTGATTTTTGAATTCTAGCTTTTCTGGTTTTTCTTTAACCATTCAGGGTCTTACCAAGATAATTTTTTCAGCTTCTTTAAAGTGTATACGTGCCAAAAACAATTAAAAAAAATTGAATCCATTATGTGCAAGTTTGTTGAAACATAATTGCTTTTTGAGCAGGTGCGCTAAACTTATTTCCTGGAATTTTTTTTCCTAGAAAAATGTAATTTGTTGAAAACTAGATTCGAGGAAAGAAACAAATGATGTGATGGTCAGAAAAAAAAAGATTTTTAGGGGACAAAATATAAAGATTGAAAATAAAAGGTTTCAGGAATTTGCCAAGCAATGTGCGTATCTCTTCTAGCTACCAACCGAGTCTCCGCCATTCTTTTCCCTTCAAAGCATTCTAGAGTGAGTACAGTAATCGCCTACAGGAACTTTAGCGTACGCTAAAGTGACACTTCTAATATACACAGAATCAAGTACAGCAATTAAGATAGAAGATCATTCAGCTGCTGGAATCTGACAGTAGGTACAGTAATCTTACTACAGTATTCTTCATAAATCCTACAGTAACCCTTGCTATCCTAAACTGCGAGAATTGATACTATACTATAGTAAACCCAGCGTTATCTATACTGACGCTCACCTACAAAAGCCTAGACCGTTCAGCTACAGTAGTCCTACTGAGAATACGTGCTCAACCTACAGTAGTACTATTACAGTAGTCTTCAAGAATTCGACAGTATCCTTACTAGTCCAAACCTACAGGGATTAATGCTTCAAATATAGTAACACCTAACTAGCCTAGACTGTAAGAATCGATATTCCAACTGCAGTAATCCCAACGAACGTTATATTGCCACTGAAGTCTTCATGAAACGTACAGTAACCATTGTTAAATTGAATTGCAATAATTGATGATTCAACTTCAGTAATTCCCACTTACACTATAGTAACACTGAACTACAGTAATCATACAACATTAGTCTTTATGAATCCTACAGTAACCCTTCCAGCTACTCCATTTTCAGATGTGGACATCCACGCGCCTCCGAATTGCCATAGCCATTCAATTTTTGCCGGGACTTTTTGCTGGAATCGCCACATTTTTCAACGAAACTCAATTATATCGAAATTCTAAAAATGGAGTCGTCCCAAGGTTCAAAAGGTCGGATTCGGGGAAACGGTTGAAACCAAAATTTGAGCGTAAATTGATTCCAACATTTTTTTCAGTGAAATTTTCATTGGTGTACTTTTCGGAATCGCTGGGCTGTTCTTGGCAATTGTGTGCATTTATTTGATTTTGGCTTATTGTTATTTGTTGTTCATGTTAAGAAAGAGTAGTAATGCTATTGTGAGTTAGCGGGGAATTTGAAAAGTTTCAAAAAAATTTCATCGTTTCAAAAGTTTGATAACAAAATGAAATTTTTCCAGTGTTGAGTGATTTTTTTCTATTGTTGATTCTGAAATTTTGATATTCTAAAATTGTGTAAATCAGGAATTCTGAGAGTATTGGATTTCTGAAAATTTGGAATTTCAGGGTTTTGTATTCTTGGGTCTTTTAGGATTTTTTTTGAAATTTTCAGAATTAGGAATGATTTTCAGAATTAGGAATGATTTTTTAACTAGAATCTTTAAAATAGATTACATTTCAGAAATCCTCCCATTTTGCAAAATCCCGTGCTGTTATCAAGAAAAAAGAAGTGAAACTTTTCATCATGAGCAGTATTACAGGTAACTCAAATCTTTTGGATTACTGTAGCACAATTTTTTCTTTCAGTAACTATTCAAATTTCTATTCTGGTCCTGGTGATTATTTATGCAACGTCACTATTGAATTTCCCGCTGGATACATTTTATTTATGCTATAATGCTATCAGGTAAGATTCTCAGATGCTAAATTCTGAAAGTTTTAGAAAATTTTGGTTTTCGAAATTTTAAGATGTTGGTTCCAAAATATACAATCGTATTCACAGCAGAAACAATTCGAAATTTCTAAATCTGAAATTCTTAACTTTTTGAAACAGCGATTTTCATTTTTTTTTTCCAATTATTTTTCAGCGATCTGTACGCTGGAATCAATCCATATCTTCTCTGGATTTTCTCGGATTCCCTCCGAAAACATATTTTCATTCGCTTGGGTTTAAAGAAGAGAAGACGAGTGGCCAGCTCTTCTGTGGTTACTGTAAATCAGTGAATTTTTTATTTTTAACTTCTTTCTCAATAAAAAGTTCCGTGTCTCGATTTTTTGCTCAATTTTTATCCGAAATATCAAATTTTCCTTCTTCCTAGATTCCGAAAATGGGGATATGAAACATTGATAATTTTGAAAAATTGTAAAATAATTCTGCTTTTTTTGAATTCGGAAAGCTTTTTTTGAATTCTTTTTGAGAAAAAAAACCATTTTCAAAATAATTTTAATTTTAATGTTTTTTTAAAGACTCAAAAACTCCGATTACATCACTTCATGAATTTTTGTGATCCAAAAAATGAAAATTTTGAAAGAGTGATTTTGGAAATTTCAAAATTGAAGAAATTGTTGATGATCACTAAGTAGTTTTATTTAAATTCGAAGAGTTTGAAGCAAAAATTTCATGGTTACTAATAAATTAATTTTTTTTCAGATTCAAAAACAAAATTTATGAAATAACAAGAAATTGTTTATTTTATTAGTGATCAGGTTCAGACATCAGCGGAATTCCTCATTCCTTATTCCTTCTTCCTTATTCCGGGTGTTTATTCTATTCCTTATTCCTTCTTCCGGGGTTTTCAAATTGTATTCCTTATTCCTTATTCCTTATTCCTGATTTTCAAAAATTTTATTCCGCTCATGTCTGATCAGGATGAATGAATTTTCGAAGCTTTTTATTTCCAAATTATTTCTAAAAATCAATTTAATTACGGAAAGAATTTGGAACTTTGTGAAATCTGAAATTCTAAGCTTTCCGAAACCGCGAAAAATTTCAGTGAATTCATTTGTGATTTTTGTGTTTTCAAAAAATGGGGTTTGAAACTTTGAAAACTATCAAATACCGTATTTCCTATAATAGAAGCCCACCCAAACCGTCAACTTTGAGCTCAATTATCTCGATTCCTATGAGAGATACTACAAATATGCCAACTGATAAACTATTTATCACAACATCACCTATATTACATCAACTACCCAATTTTTAAAATCTTTCACTGGAATTGAGATAATGGAGCTCAAAGTTGAGGGTTTGGGTGGGCTTCTATTTGAGGATATACGGTAATACAGCATTTTTTGAATTCGAAAATTTTCAGATTCGAGATTTTTCTTTGAAATTTTTGAAGACTTGAAGATGTTGACATGTATCGATCTATGAAACGTTGTGATCTAAAAGTGAACATTTTGAAACGGTAATTTCATATTTTTAAATTTTAGTTTGCTAAAAAATTGCTGGTCATCATTCAGGAATTTTGAAATTCAGAGACTTTATAGTTAAAGGAAAAAATAAACAAGATGAACAATAAACTAAAATATTTTTCAAATTCAAAAATGAAATTTATAAAACAGCGAATATTTATTTTTCAAAGGATCTCCAAAAACAGAAATCTTGAAAATTCCAACTTTTAGGACTCCAGTAGTCTTTATTTCCTTGTACCCTTATCTTTCAGGTGTTCTCTGTCCGTCCGAGACATTGCTGTCTGTGGAAAACTTGAAAATAATAAAAAAGAACATGTGAAAAAATTTCAGATATTCAGAACTCCAGGAATCTGAAGAAAAAAATTAACAATATAGGTACAGATATCAGAAACATGTTCATTTGTTTGATGTGCTTTTCTTGGAAGTTTTTTTTTATCCAAAAAAAATGTCCGCTTCAAAAAATTGATTTGAAGGACAATCAAATGTTAATACAATGCTGATTTACAATTTTTTCATAAAATTTCTAAAATTTTATTAAAATCCCAAGTTCATAAAATCTCAGAAAACATCACCTGTTTCAATAAAATGATAAACTTTTCAATTTTCAATTTTTTCGATTCATCCTTCAATGGAAAATGTAAAAAACAATGTCTAGACATCAAGAATTACTTTAACTACTCATTAAGCGTTTTAATTTTCAAAATTTCAAACATCAATTTGAATTGTTTCCCCTAATTACCCCTAATTATACATCTCAAATTCTAGGAATTCCTGTTCTACAGATCACTTAAAACAAATTCTAGACCTTTCTATTCCCAGACATGACCTAAATACACTTTTTGCTTTTCCCCTCCAAAAACGACCCGAATGAGATTTTTCGATAATGAAATTTGTGCATATGTATTTTTTGACGCACTATGCTCCCAATTAAGCTCCGCCTCCTTTTCTTATTTTTCCTCATGACCCCCAATTTTTGACATATTGACTATATAGCTTTTTGGGGGGTATTTTTCCACCCTTATTGAAATTCTTTCCTAGAATGTCAGGTGAAAATTTTATAATAAAAGCATTTTAGTTGTTAAATGATCATTGAAAGAGTTTTGATGCTTTTTGAGCCATTAAAACACTATTTCATTTTTTCTGTTACAAGGTTTTCACTTCAAAGACAAAAAAATCTTTAATCTAGTTGATATTTCATATTGTATTTTCAATAAATTTTCCAGAAATTCACTATTGAGAAGATGAATCGCTTACTGTACCATTTTTTGTTTCTATGTTTTTATCAGCAAATTTTTCTCCGGTTTCATTACATTTTTATGAATTTCTGAACTTTTTTCCTTCAATTTTGTTTTCGCCATTTTGACCATTTTTCAGGAGCTGAAGCTTAACTATTACAGTTCCCATCACTTTGAAAATATTGGAGGATGTAAAACAGACCTAGTTTGAAAGCTTTGCATTCACAGAATTTTTTGAACATTCCGACTAATTCCGATTACTGAAAGACACTAATCTTTGCCCGTTTTTGTACTGAATACTTGTTTTTGATGGTTCAAAAAACTAGGTGAAAATTGTCTGATTCTTCTGAAATTTTTAGTGTATCCTAAACAAACCTAGAGCTTTTTTTTAACTAACAACTTTACTGCAAAATCAACTCCTAGAGAGAGACAGCACGATTTCAAAATGTGCGAAAAATTTGCAGTCTTGCTCAAAAATGATTTTTTTGGCTGTCTGAAACACTAGCTCAATTTTTATAGATTTGTCTGAAAATTTCATACTATACTAAACTGACTAGATCTTCATTTTTGTAGTTGAGACCTTTTCTTAAAAGTTGAGTTCTAGAGATAAGAAACATTAAAGAGGGAAGCGCTTCCATTTGGCATACCTCCTCAGAAATTCAGTTTTCAAAAATGTTGCACAAGTTCCAGTACATTAAAGTAAACTCCAGTACGAAAACCTGCGAAAAAAGGGGTGTCTTTCAGAAATCGACAAAACGGAAAATCTAGGAATTTTCAAAAATTCTATGAATGCTAAATTTTCTACCTAGGCTTGTTTTACACTTTCCAAAACTTTCAAAGTGATCGGGAACTTGACAGTCGAGCTCCAGACTCCTGAAAATAGTCAAAATGGCTGAAAACTATCTGAAAAATATGTTTTCTTATATCTTATTGACCGGTACTGTAGTAGACTAGAAGGTCCAGGGTACTATGGTCGTGAAGGGTTTTTTTAAACAATCACATCTTTCTCCCCGTTTCACTAAATTTTCATACGGTTTTGAACTTCTTTCTTCTATTCCTGCTTTAATATAATTTGGTTTTAATTCAGCAATCATTTATGAATGATTTCCGATTTCAATTCGCTCCCTCTCATTGTCCAAATCGATGAACCATTGGATGAAACGCTTGAAAAAGTTGTTGAAACTATTCAATTCTCGATTTTTTGCTTCACTTTACCATTTTATTGTTTTGTGATCTATCTGTTATTGGATGCGCAGTTACGGGGCATTGAAGAGTTGTCAACTCCATTTTTTAAATTATGTGTTACCACTTCTGTAGTGGATATTTGTGAGTTTTAATTAGTTGGGTAATTTAAATAGTTGAAAAAAACTATAAGACCTTTTTTGTATGATACCCTACCTTTTTGATTACTTTTGAACTGCAAAAAGTAAATGGCAAAACACATGGAATTCAGAAAACAAAAATAAATCCAACAAAAAAGTTCAAAACCAATTGAAACGGAAATTCGTAGAACTTTTATATCAAAATGTTTGGATGTAACTAATAAATAAAAAAAAAGCTACTGAACATTTTTTTTCCAAATTAAAATTTTTTAGGGACCCTCCTGAACAATTATCTGGGAGCAATGTTCCCAAAATGGGGATGGGGAACTCGTGTTTATTTATTTTTGGATGGTTACTATGCACATACTTATTTATATTTTGCATGGACTTCTGGTGAGTAACTAATTACTTAATTATCTAGGGTAATTAAATCTAAAAATTAGAAAGTTTTGAACCTTCCAAACATCAGTTCTGGGTGAGTCATGGTGTACTGAAAGATCTGGAAATTGATTGAAAGTGTCTAGGAAGTAATTATTTTTTCTAACTTGAAAAAATAGCGGTTTCAAGATTACGATAATTTGGAGATCAATTTTTTTGGAATGATTGTACGATCTTGGAGGTTACAGCTAGGGTTTCCATTTGGGGGGGGGGGGG